CTAAGATTGCACTTTGTACATAGTTCATTTTACTATGATGTTGATCAGATTTCCACTGGTGGAATCTTATTATTATTTATCAAATCATTCACATTCACCGCCAAAATAATCCTTAATTGTCTAAAGGGAACAAACTTTAGAATGTGAAAAAGCTACTAACTTTTAGTAAAATCTTTAAAAAGTTCATTCAATTTTTGCATAATATCTGCTTTTATAATGCGAAATAAATTTTAAAAGAATAATCAAGTGTCCGAATAGTGCCACTATACAGTGGTCGTGGTCTAAAGTTAGTTATATACACATTACTGTAAAATTGTTTATATCTATCTTCAAAATTGGTTAGATCTCTTAAAATGTTTTGAAAATTGGGAAACTAGACGTTATGACTCAAAATCCTTTTTTAAAATATCTTACGCAAGCTCCTGTCTTGAAATAAACATACAGATAATTTTTTTTTTAATTCAATTCCTACTTTGATGAAATATGAGTTTTAAACTCATTTGGGCCAGACCGATTCTGCCTGGTGAGCACTCGGCAAGCCAAGCAATATGACCCGCTTTTCGTCGTCTTGTTTATATATGGATGAGCAGTCTATTAATCTATATAATTGGTTCAACCCAATATCCGACTCGACAGGGGAAGGGCTATTAGATTTTGTCGTTGGACTTTTGAAAAATTTAAATTTAGATATTAAAGATATGAGAGGTCAAGGGTATGATAATGGGGCGAATATGCGCGGAAAACATACTGGTTTACAAAAACGCATACTCGATGCTAATCCCAGGGCATTTTTTATGCCATGTGCTGCACACAGCTTAAATTTAGCACTAAATGATGCTGCTAAAGTTTCAAATGAAACAATTAACTTTTTCAATATTGTACAAGAACTTTATGTATTTCTCTCTTCATCCACAAAAAGGTGGGATATTATAAAAAAGCATGTCCCGAAGTTAAATCTAAAATCCCTAAGTGATAATAGATGGTCAAGTAGGATTGATGCTATAAGGCCGCTAAAGTTTCATTTAATTCAAATTTGTGATAGCCTTCTAGAAATAGCAGAAAATGATACTTTTAACATAGAAGCTAGGCATAAAGCAAGTTCTTAAGTATCCAAACTTTTAAATTTATTTGCAGTGTAATAATTTGGTATGATGTTTTATTCCAGATTGGCATTGTAAGAAAAATGATGTAAAGTGTGATATTAAAGTGTGCCAAAACTATTTAAAGAATCTAGTTGATAATTTTAAAAATTATAGAGATGATATTGTTTTCGAGGAAAAACTGGCTCAAGCTGGAGAACTAGCAGCCGCTCTTGAGATAGAACAAGGTTTTCCTTCATTAAATACTGTTAGACGAAAGTATAAAACAAAACTGTTCGATTATGAACAGAGAGATGAGACACCTCAAGATCCAAAAACAGCGTTTAAAATAAATTTCTTTTTAAAAATAATTGATCAAACACTAAGTTCTTTGAATAGTAGATTTGAAATGATATCTGATTACGACAACGTTTTCGGTTTTTTTAGTGATATTTCTAAAATAAAATAACGAGGATCTTTTAAAATGCTGTCGTACTCTACAGCAAAAGCTAACTGATCAGAAAAAGGAGGATGCTGACGTAGAAGAAAATGATTTATTTAATGAGATAAAAGCCCTAAGATTGTTTTCATTACCTGAAGCGTCAAAACCATTCGACATTTTACAATATACAGGGTGATTCACATAAGAACCGACATAGAGCAGGGGCATATAGGGGGTCCCAAAATATGGCAATTTAACGCAACTTACCTCTATACCAAGTTGCTTCCCTAAGGAGTTATAGGCTTTGAAAGTGAAGTTATAAATTTTGAAAAAAATCAATATCTCCGTTATTCTTGAACTTAAAGCAACCAAATTTGGTACACTTTGTGGATGTATTTAGGGCGTTACTTGACAGTAACTAGAGTTTAATTGAAATTTGTAAAGGGGGTATACTGGGTGGCGCACCATTAATATTCAACAGAATTTTGTTAACCCTTGATGGATTTTAAAAATCTTTGCTTTGTTTTGTGGGCAATGCAATTCTTAAACTTTTCTTACTCTAGTAATTTTTCGAAAAAACTCATCATTTTCATCAAAAACTCGAATAACTTAAAACGCGCGCTCTAGGTGTGTTATTTAAAATCAGCGAAAATTCAAAAGTTGGCTATGAAAATAAACGTCAAACAAGAAAGTAGGTCATTTAATGTGATCAGTAGGAATTGGCTGGCAAATTATTATTTAGATACGTAACAAAATAACTTAAAGTAAGTACAGATACTGAAATGTGAAAAACTGGGATTAACAACTAAGCAAAATAAACACAAAAAACTTAAACAACAACCAGAACAAACAATTGTTTATCGATAAATTAAAGAAATTGTTCAAAATGATCGCCGTTTTCTCTTACGCATAAATTTATTCTTCTTCGAAAATTAAAATCCACCCTATCTAATAACTGTTGATTATTCCTAATAGATGTGCATTTATGAATAATGCGATTCCATAATTCTTCTTGAGACGCAACGGGCGAAGAATACACAAATTCTTTCAACGTTCCCCACAGAAAGAAGTCACATTTGTTCAGGTCAGGTGATCTTGGGGGCCAACGTTGTGGGCAATTATTTCCTCTTCCTATCCATCTATTGGGATACTGGTGGTTTAAAAAATTTCTTACGTTCATACTAAAATGAGGCGGTGCTCCATCGTGCATAAACCAATGTTGCAACCTTAGTTGTAAAGGTACCTCGTCAAGTAGATACGGAAGGGTGTTTTGTAGAAATTCTAAATAATTTTCACCATTCAGCCGATTCGGTAAAACAACAGGACCAATTAAATATCGATCAATAATTCCCATCCAAACATTAATTTTGAATTCACGTTGGAAATGCCGAGGAGTTATTGCATGTGGGTTTACGTCAGAATACTCATGATAGTTATGGAGATTTGTGATACCTCTGCGAGTGAAAGTCGCCTCATCCGTAAAAAGAATTTTCTTTTGGAAGTTATTATCTTGGTGTAGAATAAACTGACAAAAATTGACACGTTGAACCAAATCTCCGGGTAAAAGTTCTTGGACTTTTTGTACATGATAAGGGTGTAGTAGATTGCGACGGATAACTCGATGCACAGAACTCTGCGATATACCAATTTGTCGAGATAAATTCCTAGTACTAATATGTGGATCATCTTGAATAGCATTTAAAATGGCTACCTCAACTTGTGGCCTGAGTGCGACAGCACGTTCTCGAGTATTATTGAGAAACTTGCCCGTTTCTCTAGCTCGTCTTTCAACATTAGAAAATGTTTCTCTATGGGGAATGATACGGTTAGGAAATCTTCTACGATATTCTTCTACACTTCTTCTACAGTTTCCTTCACAAAAACCTAGCACTAACAGCATGTCAACTTGCTCGTTAAAAGAAAACTTCCCGTTCATTTTAAAAACACTCAAAAAACAATTACTTAATTGAACAACTTACTTGCTTCATTGTCAAGTTTGACGTTTATTTTCATAGCCAACTTTTGAATTTTCGATGATTTTAAATAACACACCTAGAGCGCGCGTTTTAAGTTATTCGAGTTTTTGATGAAAATGATGAGTTTTTTCGAAAAATTACTAGAGTAAGAAAAGTTTAAGAATTGAATTGCCCACAAAACAAAGCAAATATTTTTAAAATCCATCAAGGGTTAACAAAATTATGTTGAATATTAATGGTGCGCCACCCAGTATACCCCCTTTACAAATTTCAATTAAACTCTAGTTACTGTCAAGTAACGCCCTAAATACATCCACAAAGTGTACCAAATTTGGTTGCTTTAAGTTCAAGAATAACGGAGATATTGATTTTTTTCAAAATTTATAACTTCACTTTCAAAGCCTATAACTCCTTAGGGAAGCAACTTGGTATAGAGGTAAGTTGCGTTAAATTGCCATATTTTGGGACCCCCTATATGCCCCTGCTCTATGTCGGTTCTTATGTGAATCACCCTGTATATTTGAAAACAATCTAACTTCATCTCTACCAAATATTACCATTTCGTTAAGAATCCTGCTTACTTTACCTGTAGCTTCTGGTGAGAGATCCTTCTCAAAATTAAAAATTATTTGAGGTCTACCATGTCACAAGAAAGATTATCGGGTTTGGCAATCTTAGCTATAAAGCAAGTCTCATTTTGTTGGGAATTTAGTGGACTTTAATAACTAAATAAAGTAACTTTTCCCATAAACCTACTCCTTAGGGGTAAAAATTGTCGAAAACAAAAAAAGTAATACTTCCTTTTTTTGCAAACGTTTAAATAGCCGTATCTTATCAATTATTTGGCCTACCAAAACCAAATTACTCTCATTTCATTGCAAATCTAGTCTATTTAAAAACTGTGCACAGTAACTTTTGCCGTAACACAGGTCCTTGATGGTAAAAATTGACAAAAACTGAAAAAAGTCCTAAAATTTAAAGAATTTTTTAGTATTTAACAATGATCCGAAGGGCTTCGAGGTGGAAAATTTGGATTTGTCATTACCAGAACTACCTCATTTGATATAAGGCAAAAAGTACCAATTCCATGGACTTATAAATAATACAATTTAAATAGGAAAACTACTAAGTGTGATACATCATTGAAAAGATAATTTTATGGGAATTCAGCAATATAACTGTCCTTGGTACTTTTGATTATAACGGTCTCTAGCGTAATATAAAACTGTTACGTGTAATTTAAAGTGCCACACTTCATTTGAAAGCTAATTTTATTTGTATTCTTTTTATTAGAAGATATTGCAAATGGGAGGTTTCTAAATTGACACCTTCTATTTCTACTTTTTACTTTGTTGTACTATTTTGCTTGAAAGTTTTATGTGATAGAAAAAATCTGAAAACAACGCTACAAAAATACTTAAGACCAGATGGAAAACATAATTCACATGTGTTATAAGAAGAAAACTTTATGGTTGAGCTCAGAATCTGACCAGATTTTCTTACCTTGACCAAGCTATAGATAATTTAAAATGACTTATATTCATTTTGACCATTTGATCAATATCTTCATCGAAATATGAGTAAAATGTAAGATCAGCATTTTCTGCGTTTGTTCCATCTTCTATTATGGATGCGTTTTGTTTAATAGCATAATCCCAAATCGTTTCGCCTTTGTTTGATTCCGATTCTGCTCCTTCGGTTTGGTAAGCAGAAATGCCCGTTCCAAATGAAAAGTTGTCTGGAAATGGGTAATCGCTAAGCCCATTGGCACTGTTGAAAGTAAAGTTTTTAATACCTATTTTTAGTATACATGATTATTTATTTGAATAACGCATAAGAAAATATTAGAAAAGAATATATTATTAAATATTAATACTAATAAAAAATTAAAATTGATTTACCATGCAAAAAATAGAAAAAGGAAATTAAGCACAACCATGTTTCTTTTTGCTCAGGTTCAAACTAATTATAATGAAACATATGTTAACATATGTTAACACATGTTAAGTACCAAGTTATCTTTAAAGTAGAATAATTTAGTTTTAATTTTGATTTAATTGTTTTTTTTATCAATTTAAACAAAAAACAATATTTGAAGTGTTTTTGCATAAATAGATCGATATCTATTAACTATTTTATACAACAATTGCACTTCAGAAAATATTTAAAAATATTAAAATATAACAAAAGTAAATGTAAACTTTTGAAGATCATATCTCCTGTTTATTCATTGGCTAAAGTCGGTACAGATGAACTGTAATCGGACCTCTTGAAAAGAACCTTTCGTCCATGAAATCAAAGGCTGATGAACGGTAAATTGGTTTATTTACTTATTTGAAGACAAAACGATTTCACAATTACTAGTATATACGTATTTACACTCGCATGTTAGTAATTATTCTATATTTAACAAAGTAACTTGGTTGAAAGATAAATAGGATGCAATAGGAGCGATTAACGGGAACGATATATGGTTACTATGAAGGCATGTTGAAGGTTCGAAGTTTGAAAATGGAGTGTGTAGGGTGGCGAGAACGAACTATCCCGTAGAAAACGAAGCAGGTAACTTCATACAAAAATAAAAAGAGAAGGTTTGAATAAATGGCGTGACTTGTTTCCTTGTTGGTAGTTCAACCATAAGCGCTTACCATGCTGCTCACTAAATTCAAACCCGTTTTACTCCCATAAAAAAATATGTTTTCAAAAATAATGACAAAAAAATCAATAATTTTACTGATTTACCCTGATAATATTTTCATTTTAAAATGGAGGTGATATTTTTATCAAATGTAGGTGAATAAATTGTATTAATTTAGTGTAAGTTAGAATTAACTAATTTAACTGTAGGGAGGTTCTTAAAAATGTCATTAACTTTTGATACATTTAAATTTTAATTGCAGAATTGTCCTGCTATTATTTATCTTAGAGATAAATTGAACCACATTTTAAACATTTGTGGTCAAAAAAATGAAAGGAATTATGAGCGAAATGTGTGAAACCAATTTACAAACAAATTGTAGAACTCGAGATAGAACCTCATCATAGTTTTACTCATAAAGACCATGATGAAAAAAGGCGAATGATTTGTGTTCAAAAAGTTATTGTTCAATTTTTGGGTGATATTCATTATTATATTTATCAAATAATACCCAAATATGTTCAAAAACTAATATGATATTTAGGTCAACTTGTTAATTTTTACATAGTTCACCTATTAAGATCATTTCTATTTTTATACCTTTCATTGCAAGAAAAATGTAAGAATTTAAAAAAGTTATGACTCGTGTTAATCTTTAATTTCAAGATACACACTGCACCTTTATTTTTATTTTGTTTTGTTTTAGATATTTCTAGGTATGGAGATTTTTGGAATGTCCATAAATGTCTATCTTAATTAGAGTGTGTTTCAAAGCCCACCTGTATTGAAGCTGGAGGCTTATTGTATCCGAAATAAGCATTACAATTACTCTAGATTGAAATAGATGGGTAAAGGCCTTAAAAGTACAATAAGTATAAGAATATTAGAATTAGAATGATTTTAGTCAGTATTAGGGATATTTAAAACATTAAAACAATTGTATTTATAAATTAACTACTTTGACTTTTTATAAAAACTATATCCGTTTTTTAAATAACAAAAACATTGTCATGTTCTATGCTATAGTTATCATATTATATTTTTATTTTTCAGTAATTTAGTGTGTGATATATAGTCTAAGATCCCGCTGCAAAATCACTACGTTCATTAAGTTTTGAGTGAAACACAAATTTTTACATGATTTTATGAATAGGAGAATACACTGACAACACCGCAGCCAGTCAAAAGTGGCCGCAAGTAATTTTAATTAAATTAATGTTAATTAATATTCCAAAAAAAATTACTTCTCTTTAAAATAAAATATCATCCACATCATAACAATGCATGTAAAGAATTCTAAAATCCTTAAGTGCCGTTCCATACTCGGCCGCAACTACCTCGCAGCCAGGTGTAAGCAGGTAATATTTTGATCTATCTATGCGTTCGTGACTTACACGGATGTTTTTATATCAAATTAAAGCTAATTTTTTTCTAACATGATGATATATTGCTGCCTATGAAAAAATAGCCGCAAATTAGGAGTGCCATCAGTTAAAAACGCGAGATATCTGAGATAAAATGAGAGAGAGTTAGCGCGCAACGCCACTTGTTAGATGAGGATGGTGAATGCCAACTGTGTGAGTATTTGAAGCTATTGCGCATGCGTCGACAATATTTTGCCACCCGCCAACTACAGTAGTTTTTTAGAACTTCATAAAAATAGGGACGGAAATTTGAAATTTGACCAATGCCGATTCGCCTCCTTATCTCTAGTCTTCATACTTCAAATTAGGCATTCCAACGACCTGTCAAACAATAGGTGTCAGTGGGAAATTCTTGTATATTTAAGGGGGTAGCGACATAGTCTTGCAACTTGGACGCTATTTTTATTCGAAGTAGTACTCGCCAAGCCTGCCAATTTATAAAGAAATGTATAGGTGGGTTTTTTAAATATTATTTTTATTGTGTTTGACATAAAATATTTAAATGTAATCCATTATTCATGATTTTACGTAAAGTAGATAGAATACACCATATGTCGCCACCCTTAGATATACCAAACCTGCCCACTGGTAATTCATTTGTTTGGAATGCCTATTCAAATATCTAAATTATCAAGCCCGTCAATTTTTAAATCGCTTTACTTAGCATTGTCCTACTTTATCGACTGAAACGACAGATGTAGTTCAACCGTAAGCGCTTAGTGCGCTACTGTCGAGGTCAAGCAAACTTGTTACCAACTATTTACATGGAATCCGATCCCCGGGCAACTAATTGGTTCTTGTGTGTGAAGGGCGCTGTACACATTGTACAGATGTTGGTAGAATGCAATTGTTCAATTGACGAGAATTACAACATCAAGTAAAATTTTGTTAGAAATTGTTTTTTAATTAAATTGAGTAGAAGAGAGAGAGAGAGAGAGAGAGAGAGAGGGATAAGAATATCCTTGATACTTAAAAAAAATGGTATCAGATTAAGTAGATTTGATGCTATGTCACATTGTGGTGCGAAGACGTGGCTTGTATAAATTTGGAGTATAAGTTGATAGAAAACAGTGCGCAAAAATAAATTTAAATCTGCATAGGCATCAGGGATAGCCATATTCCGTACCACAATACGTCATGCGTGAACTCGATGAGATTTCATCGGCTAAGTATCATTCCTTTGTAATGTTTTGCATCATTAGGAACATCAACATTGTAAAGAATTATGACCAGGCTTTTCTAACCTTTTCCCTAGGTCAGAGAGAATAAATGAAAACTGAATAATGTATAGTAATAAATATTGAAAATATATATACTTTTAAGAGTTTTATTATGTCAGCCATAGTTTTATACCAAAAATGAAAATAAACTGAAATTATACATTAAAATACATTTATAAATTTACTATATGACATTCATCGACTGTCTCCTGGCAAAAGTATTACTTATCTATCTATTCAGCTCTGTCCCGTCTATTTTTTGCCTTTAGCCTCCTTCTAACACTTCCATTTGTTCTTATTCAGTGTAGTATGATGGTTTATGGTCTTCATAATACCAAGTGTTATACCTATCTGATGCTGGGTTCTGCAAAGTTCATCTTCAGTACACCCTGCTTATGTGACATCTATCCATAGCCCTCAGAAGGTCTAGATACCGCATCGTAAAAACATTTTGACATCCCATATGATGGGCGCCATGATAAATAAATGTCAATAAATTTTAAGTTGGCACTTCTGACAAGACATAAGGTTTGTTCCCAATTAGATGTTACGATTAGTTTGCAATTAGTACTTGAACTGACCTAAGCGCATGTCATACATGAACTACATTACAAATTAGTAAAAAGTTTTGTTCTATTGGGAACGCTTATAATGGAAATTGTCATGAATGACATTAGAGGTTGGGTAAATTGTCCGCTGGATATAGCCCCCGAAAAAAAGAAGGCCTACCTAAATAGTTTTCGTTTTTTTTTTTCTGGGCTCTCCATACATTACAAAAAACTCGTCTTCTTCGTAATCACTCGAATCACTACTTGACGGAATACTGTCTTCGTCGCTCATTTTGATAAAAATACCAACAATAACAATAATAATTATCTCTACACGAGTATTATTAGTCGCCAAATTATCAATAAAAAGTTGGGTTAAGTTTACCAAATGTAGATGGAGATCGTTTTGAGCATGCGTTAACTTTTCGTACATGCTTTTTAGCAAGGACTGTTTTGATCATCCGCAAACTAATTAATGTACTAGTTTGTGTTTATTGGGAACAGCCAACTCATCGTGCATGTACTACTCTACAAGTGATTGGGAACACTTTTATGCTATTGCGCAATTGCAAACTATTCTCGTATAATCCAAACTGCGATTGGGAACAAACCTATAATCGGCACAAGTTTAGTAATAAGCGTAAGATCGGCGTTCGACGTATATAATCGATTTTATTATCTGTTGTGTTGTTTATTTTGTTCTCTAGTAAAGGTTTTATTTAAAACATTATTTTTTAGTTTAGTCGTTTAGTGTTTTATTTTAATAAAAAACATTTGTGGTTTGGTGTTAAATTTTTACAGGATTTTCAAAATCTCTTGTTGTTTTGTACGTGAATGTAACAATGCATCCAACGGTAGAAGATACAAGGAAGGAATAACATTTCATGTGTAAGTTTTCAAAAATATTTGTATATTTTCAAAATCAAATAATTTGTGTTTTGTTGTAGCATACCAAAAAAATTTAGGAAAGAATAACTGATAGCCATAGGAAGACTATTGAATCATTTTGTGACTTTAGTATAAGCCCAGAAAATTTGGGGATACTAGCTGAAACGGCAAATGTGTTATTGGCTCATTGTTAGTGACCTATTGTACAATTTTTCCAACACACATTCCATGATCCTTTGAACTTGGCTGCACCGTACTGATGAAATATTTTGTCTTTTATTCAAAAGAAGATTGTAA